TGAAGTATTTGCGCCAACTGTGAAAAGTGAGAGTATAAGATTAGCACTGGCGTTGGCAGCGGCATATAAGCATAAAATCTGGCACTTTGATATCACAATTGCATTCCTCAATGCTGAGTTAGAGGAAGAAATTTATATGATCCAAGCACCAGGGTATGAAATTGCAAAGCCTAACATGGTGTATAAATTAAACAAGGCTATTTATGGGCTGAAGCAGTCAGCCAGAAACTGGAATATCTGTTTAGATAATGCTTTAAAGGGTCTTGGATTTAAGAGCTGCAAAGCTGATAATTGTATATATACTGGACAGTTACAAGGAGGGAATTGTCTACTGTTATCATTTGTGGATGATCTTTGGTTCATTGCAAAGGATGCATTACAAGTCAAGAAATTTGCTGATAAATTAGGAAAGAAATTCGAATTAAAGAATTTGGGAGAAATAAAAAATTATCTCGGTGTAGAGGTATGGAAAAATGAAAAAGGTGGTTATATTCTCAGTCAAAGGAGAAAAATTGAGCAGTTATTGGAAAACTATAACATGAAAGATAGCAATACTGCTCCCACACCCATGAGTATGGATTTTTATAATAGTTTAAGTGCGGACAAAGGTGAAACCTGTGATCAAGAGATATATCTCTCAGCAATAGGGAGTTTGTTATTCTATCACAGTGGTCCAGACCAGACATAGCTTGCGTAGTAAGCATTTTGAGTCATTTTACTGCCGCACCTACAAAGTTACATTGGATGGGTGTAAAAAGGGTTCTCAGATATTTAAAGGGAACCATAAATTTGGGCCTTCAAATACAGATTACTGAGGAATTGAAATTAAAGTGTTATGTTGATAGTGACTATGCAAATGACATAAACACGAGGAAATCAAATTCTGGAATTATAATATTGTTTGGAGGGACTCCGATTGGATGGAAGTCCAGAAAACAGTTGCTATTTCAACAGCGGAAGCAGAGTTTATTGCTTTATCTGAATTGCATTCTGAAGTAACATGGTATGTACAGTTGTTGCAAGATTTAAATATTAATGTAAAAGAATCTGTAAAGTTATTTGAAGACAATGCTGCCTGTATAAAAATGGCAACTGGTGACAGGATGAAGAACAGAAGTAAACATGCAGACATTAAGTATTGCAATGTCAGGGACACTGTAAAAGGAAAATTGATTAGTTTACATCATTGTTCTTCTGAGAATAATTTGGCAGACATGATGACTAAACCATTGGGTGGTGTTCACTATGGAGAATGTATTAAGTCAATAGGTCTGATGTCTCTTCCTGTCATGAAGGGAGGAGTGTTAGAATATTCATGAGCAGGAAGAGTCATGTGGTAACTCAATCAGCCAATGTGAGAAAAGTGCTACTGAGTCTGTGCAAAAAGGGTATTGAGTTAGGAGCTGGATTTTCAGTCTCAGGTCTGTCTCTGTATCTCTCTGTAAGAAGTCTTCATTGTGCTATGTTGCTGTAAAGAAGAATGTATGGTATTGTAAATATTTTGATATGAATATAAAGAGGTTATTTGAATCAGCTAAATGTAGTCAACTGTGAGAGCTTCTGATTTATTTTTACCAACAGAGAAATTAAAATTCTCTAACACTTTATATGAAAGATATAATAAGATAGCAAATAATAGAAAAAGCAATAAACATAGGCATACTATCCATTGAATGAATAATTTTTAATAGCAACATAGTTCTTTTGCACAATGGCACCAGTATTCATAACGGAAACGTAAGGAAACATAGATAAAAGCCTAGCTTCACATTTTTCTTTCATCTGTAATAGAAACTCCTTCAGGAAGCCAAAAAATTTCATCTCTGACTGTTGAAAGTTACTGTTAGAAAGTCATCTGATTTGAGATTCACAAAAGCATGTTGATGTTTATAATAAGAAGCAATTTCCAGATAACTTGAGATTTTTATCCCATCGCCCTTTTGTGCTAAATAATGAATTTATAGCTATATCCAGTTTTATCTGAAAGCTGAATTATTACTTGGGATTCCAAGCGGTACATAGCTAAAGGCTTCAGCATGTATCCTACTTTACTGGAAAACCCTAGATTTAGATGCACATTAACATTTACATCACTTGCCTACCTAGAAGCTTACTTCTGCATTTGGATTTTTTGTGATGGGATAAGAATAGGATATGCCTATTACATAGCTAGGTAATCTTGATTAAGTCAACTCACAAAGTTATGTTATACTTTTTGGTACAGCTGAGAACCTATGACAGCAATTGTGTAAAAAAATCTAATGCATAAGATATAAATCAATAACATTTTGTGACAGTAGCAATAGCAAAAAGAAAAAAAAAGAAAAAGTCATATTAAAAAAGGAGGTTACACAAACCTTATGGTTGGTTTAGAACATACTCCAAATACTAAGCAATGAATTCATTTGACTGAATTGTAATGAATTCATTAAACAGGATAATCACAATCACAATGAATTTTCATACCATTTGCAACTTAGGGAATTCCACCACGAGGACTGGAAATATCAGCTCATTGAGGAAAAAATACAGCTGAAATTTGCATGATTTACATTGTCTAAAATATCAACCTTTTACTGAAGCAAAATTTGGGGTATTTTGCAGATTTTCTTTATCTGAGGCACACAGACCTTTGATAAGGAAAAATAGTATTTATCCCTTCTAATGTCATCAGCTATAATCAACTACGTAGCTGTATCTTTACAATTACAGATACTGCAAAATAGCACCTGAAGACATCTATTAAGGAGATCTTTCAGATTCTGGTGCAGTTCCAGCTCTGGCACAACATGAACACCCACCTGCCAAATCAAATGACACATAGGGTATTTACAATCTATATTTATACCACTGCCATTTTATTCTTAACAGGGAAATCCATTTCAGCTCAGCAAATGCCATTTCAAAAATTATATCATTACTTTGTGATTCAAGAGATGTCCTCTGCTATCACTGGTGGGGCTTTTTGACTTGCCCCTACTCAAGGCTGCCCTTGTAGTTACATGGTAGTGTGATGAGGAAAAGAGGTTTGAACACAAAATTGCTAGTTTGTCAGCTTTTAAAATCATGAGAGTTTCTGAGAAAGGATGTCTGCTGCTATGCTGACTATAAAACTTTAAGAGTTTCAATGCATGTTATTTGTTCCTTTTTTAAATAATGGACCTCCTCATTGCATAGTTTCTTTTCAAACTACTGTTTGTTTTTTTAATAGACGTGGACATTTATTCACAAAAAGATGATTGGAACAGAGTAGATGGGAATATCACCAATTTCTTTCCAAGGTAGAAAAAACACAAAAGAAAGTTTGCAGGATCCAATCAGGGTGGGTCACCGGGAGCAGAGGTTTTGTCTTCTGAGCTTTCAGATTCGTTCTGAAGCCCATCTTCAAGGAACTTCTCTCTAGCAGAGTGTGTGCTGTTCTGTATGTAGTATTTATAGTGTTTGTTGTAAGTGGCTTTTTAGATTGGGATGTGTCAATCGCTAGCATTTAAGTCAGGGGTATCAAACTGGCGGCCCGCAGACCGGATGCATCATAGCGAAACCGTGCTCACCCCATTGCCGGCAATGGCAAAAAGATCACGATACATTGAGACACGTCACGTGACATTGTGAATTTGACACCTCTGTTTAAAGTCATCAGCTGTTGTTTGCTTGGGCTGCTCAGCCCTCATCTTCTAAGCACTTGATAGACTGATGGTAAATGTTGATTGACGAGGGGCCTGTTTCCAGACTTCAATCCCTGTCCAATAATCTTAGTAGCTGCAAAACTGAATGTGTGTCCTTATTCATTGCCGTGTGAGACTACCAATCAGGTTGGATTTCCCTATCTGATCACTTGCTTGTGTTCTTACAATCTGGTGGTTAGCTTCCTCCCTGTCTGTCCTACATAGTTACAGGGGCAATCCATGCAGGAGATTTGGTGAATTACATACAAACTAACCATCTGATTGCAAGAACACAAGCGAGAGGTAAGTTGAGGAGACCCAAACTCATTGATAGCCTCACATGGCAATGAGCAAGGACATACATTCAATTTTGCAGCTATTAAGACTGTTGGACAAGCAGGCACAAAAACAGCCAGGGAAGTATTGAAGCCTGGGAAACAAGCCCCTCGTCAGTCAACAGGAATGCTGATTTACCACCATCCTATCAAGTACTTAGAACACATGGGCTGGGCAACACAAGCAAGCGACAGCTAATGAGTTAAAAACCAGCCAATAACACATCTCAATTAACATCTAAAAAGCAACTTGCAACAGGCACTATAAATACCACACACAGAACAACACACATTCTGCTAGAGAGAAGTTCCCTGAAGATGGGCTCCAGCACGAGTCCGAAAGCTCAGAATACAAAACTTCTGGTCCTGGTGACTGACCCAGATTGCATCCTGTAACATTATCCCGGGACACATATACTCACCTTCATTTGTAAAAGAAAGCTTGTTTAGGCACAGACTCAGCAGAACTTGAGATAGAGGAACAAAACACCCATTTTTGGGTCAGTCAAGAATTACAGCAGGAAAGCATGGACTTCCTGACAATTATGCTCAGCTACTGGTCACAAAGTAGCTAGAGCACAAAAACGGCATCTTGATATTCAAGATCTGCAAATAGCTACAACAGCTCATGTTAAATTTGAGTTTTGGATTTGGGGAAAAAGAATTGGCAGATCAAAGGTCTGGCCATTTGCAAAACCACAGTTCACACACATACAGGCTCTTTCATGTAAAAAAAAAAGGGGGGGGGTCTAAACAATGTAATGAAAGAAATGCCTTTTGAGAAAAAAGGTAAACATAGTAAGATATTCCTGAAGGCTAATTTTACAAACAATGAATATTATGTGTAATAGATAGCTTCAGAAGAGCAACATAACATGATTTGGAGAGTTCATTCAGAGCACAGCAAAGTTTACTTCAGTTAATGGCTCTAAAATCTGAGTATAAAAGATATCCATGTCTTTTGGGGTTTCTGTTAAAAAAACAAGTAAAAAAACCTTACCTTGACTATGCCACGGATGTGCATTTTTGCTATCATCTCTGCCGTGTAGAGAAACATCAGCAATGTATCAAGAGCAAATGTCACATACTGAAGGGGAGGATAATGCTCAAAGGTCTTTGGGGTATTCATGCACACCGAAATGACACTGATGATGGCACAGATGCGCAGTAAAGAATGCACCCACTGAGGAATACAAAACAGGAACAATGTTTTTATCAACTAGTACAACTATCCTTTTCAATGTTGTTTCATGTCTAACAGTTTAAAATAACACCTTGAGTGCAAAAAAAATGTTTACTGTTTTCCCAAAAGTAAGATCTACCCTAAAAATAAGCCATAGCTTGATTTTGGGGGGTGGGCCTAATATAAGACCTACCCCCCAAATAAGCCCTAATTTTGGGGTGAGGCTCACACCTAAAAATCAAGCTACGGTGGTTGTGGGGGGTGTGGAGCTGCCCCATGCGCCCCACATCCACTTACCTTGCAGCCAGGCCTCTCCTTGCCAGTCTACTTCTTCTGTGGAGTCCATAGGCCTGCATTTCACAGTCAGAAGCCTTTCCGGAAGGCCACTGCAGTCGAGAAACGAGCTATGGATTCAGTCCATAGCTTGGTTCTCAGCTGCAGTGGCCATCCAGAAAGGTCTCTGACTGTAAAATGCAGGCCAGAGATCCATTCTCAGCTGCAGAAGAAGTGGGCTGGCTAGGTGAGGCTGTCAATGCCAGAAATAAATGGAAAAGACACCCCACAAAAATAAGACCTGGTGCATCTTTTGGAGGCAAAAAAAATAAAAAATAAGACTGGGTCTTATTTTGGGGGGGAAACGATAGATATTGAAGGCTTCTACTGCTAAAAACCATTACTATTATAACATATGCTGTCAGGGGAATTAAAACAGTTACTCTTGTTCATCAACTTTTGTTTGATTCATACACCTTGCTAAGTTCCTTTTTGACAAAAGATATGGTGTAAATGAGTCAGCTTCCTCATTCCCTCTGCAGAAAATTTAGAACAATTTGCATTGCATTTGTACTGCAAATTAATACAATAAGCATTTCCTTCCATTTTTCATTTGTTTAAAGTCTTGAAATTGCTGCCTGCTTGCCCAGCATCATGGTCCAGGCAGGAAATTTTGGGTCCTCCAATAAAAATTCAAAAGTTTAATTTTTAAAAAAAAAATCATTTACTGTATTTTTCCATGTATAAGACGTCATTTTTTTTCCTGCAAACACCGTTCAAAAATCAGGTGCAGTTCTTATATACAAAAAAATAATGGTAACCTCCGCAGCCCAGGGCATGCCTGTGTGGGTTCTTTACATGCCACTGCCATGTCGCCTGGTGCAGGAGGATATCACTGGTCCAAGATGCTGCCTGGATGGGGAGAAAGCCGGCCTTAGATGCCACCTGGTGCTGGAGGATCGCGCTGCCCCAAGGATGCTGCCGGTCCCACTGAAGTTGCCTTCTATGACTCATTTTTCACTGGCACAACTCGGGCTGTAGCTGCAAGGATGCGTCTTATACAAGGGTGCGTCTTATAGACGGAAAAATAAGGTAATTGCATTTTTCCATTTTTGAACATTTGTATTATTTGATTTTCTTTTTAAAACAACTTTTTAAATATGGTGTCTGTAGCACGGGGCTAGAATATTTCCATGCTTCTTGTTGGCTTCCTTATTCTCACTAGTGAATTTGTGTACTTGATTTTCCCTTTTGCTAACAGAATATGAGACTTCTGTTTTAACAGAAAGCTTCAATACTGCTCAAAACTCAGACCCATTTTAATTTTTTTCAGAATAATTTTTAAATTTAACAGAATACTTTTGTCCTGTTAGATTGGATTTATGCAAAATATAGAAAAAGGAAAGTAACTGAAAAAATAAAAAAATAAATAGTAAAATTGGATTGGGCATTGAAGGAATGTGGATAAGACAGTTTATTCATGCCAGAAATGAAGGAAAAGTTCAGAAAGCAATTCACAAAGGCCTTGTTTAGAGCTGTGCAAAGACAAGGCTAAAGTGGGCTCTTTCAATTATTCTCCTTTTCCAATTCTTTATGTTAATTTCCCTAGATATACAGCAGTTCTAAGAGAAGAAATTGATATCATTTATCACGTGTGTATGTGTGTATATATTAATGCAACTGCATTATACATCTTTTTCTTCATTTAGTCATCATTTAGTACTGTACTGATTCATTTTGTAATATTATGGATTAGAAATTCTTATTTAGCTGCTCCCATTAACAAAGTATCTTTTCAAAATCCACTAAATTCAAATAATAGAAATGTAAACACATACTTTTGTTTACCCATCAAGAGACATTTAAGCACATATTTTCCATTGATTGCATCAACATCAATGGAACTTATCAATGCTTAATTACATCTTAATCATATTCCAAAGGTAAGAAAGTTAAGGTAGTATATCATACTTACTGGTTTGTTAACCCACAGGATATCTGCGTTGTCTGATAAGGATTCATCAGGACCAAAATCTGTTACAGGCTGGGCTTCTACCCTAGAACTCTGTTTCCTTTTCAGCATACTGAAATTAGCTTTGATTATATAAAACGGTGAAATGGCCTTAAAAAAAAAGAAAGGGGGAAAATCAAGCTATAATCTGCTTGACAAGATTAAAGATTATGGACATTTGTCCAGATCCCTGACATACAAATTATGGAAATAAACACAGAAACAAAGCCATTAGAGATTTGACTTTACTAGATTAGGCAAGTACATGGCAGCCAATTTACTTTACTTTATTCCTGTCTTTTTCTTCATTTAGTCATCATTTAGTACTAATTCATTCTGTCATATTATGGATTAGAAACTCTTATTTAGCTGCTCACACTAACAACAACAAAAAATAAGGTAGGAATAATTTGCTACCAGAAGTTTGCATGTCACACCTTTTAAGAGATCTAAATTCTTAGTTTGTGAATCCTAGATTACTTGGGAAGAAACAAAAAGTACCTTGAGCCTAAGGAAACAACATGCTAAGGAAATCATTTATTGTTTTGCCATAATGGTTTCACTGGGAGTTGGTGCACATCTTTAAAAAGTTGTATTTATATGCATGCATGTTTAAAATAGACACATATACATAGACACACATACAATCCAAATATTGCTGTGTTTTGCTATCCATTTGATTACCAAAAGTGGCCACTGAGCAGCTATTTGGTACTACCTCCAAAATTAGGTGGCAGATATTTTAGAGAATGGTTACACGTGGCCCAAAGTCTACAAATTAAGTGTGAGCAGACAGCTTATTCATAATAAACCAGAATTTCCATCCAGCAGAGGTACAATAGAACAGAGGTCCCCAATCTTTTGGGCACCAGGGACCAGTTCCATGGAGAAAGGTTTTTCCACGGACCGGAGAGTGCATGGTTTTGTGTACTGCCTGCATCCCACGGATGGGGCTTCGCTTGTTTGTGCAGACTGGTTGCTGGCATGCCACAGCCAAGTACTGGTCCATGGACCAGGGGTTGGGGACCTCTGCGATAGAAGATAGTTGATGTTTCAAGATACTTTTTTCACATTTCAGCCATGTCATTCTACAGTGTTGTTATTATTGCTTTAACATTCATCATTGTAGTTTATTTGAAAAGCTGAAGGAAAGCAGGATTATACATTTGAATGGTCTTTTGTTGGTTGTATATAAAATTGATTGTACAAAAATATTAAATCTTTGCCATATTTGGTTTGTATTGAGCATATTTTACCTATTACACAAACTATGTTGTTTATTATCACCTGCATGTGAGAACACTTATTGAATGAAAAGCATTTTACCCTTCAAGAAAAAGTAAATAGTGTGTTGAAAAATGCAAAACCATTTATCCATATGCTACAGCAGCTTTCAATAGAAAACACCTGGATGCAAGCTGAATTGAGTTGGCTGACAGGAAGTCTAACATTAATTCTGCTAATCCAAACCTGTTTAGGGTTGGATTAGCAGGAATAGGTAGATTTTTGAAAGAAGTTACCTGTGATAGGAATGAATGTGTGAAACTAGAAAAGATAATAAAAATACTTCCAAATAACCATGATGAATATAAGACTTCTTATAGGAGTACATAATGCTAATTAAGCTAAAAGTGAATCATACAAGCAAGAACTCAAGTCTTTTTCTATAGATTTGACAATCTAAAAAGTGTAAACTGCTTTCTAAATTGCTTCTCCATATACCTTAATTTCTTTCATTTAAAACTGGCAAACTGTAGCATGATATTGGTTGACCGATGACAATTTTAAACAAACTTCTTTCCAACAGGTAGAATTATGGTTAGTAAATCCATATTAGACTGCAGCTCCTATTTGGACATAATCATATTAAGATGTACAATCAAAATGAGTAAGAAGAGCCAAGAAAAGACATGAGATACTATTATTCATACTCCCCAAAGTTTATGTAACTAGAAACTGAATCCAAAATCTGACAGAGAAACTGGGTGCAAAATCTGACATAATATTTTACTTGAAACTTAAACTTATGAGTGCTTAAAATCTGAAATGATTTTTATAACTGTCTTAAATAAGCATGTGTTTTTTATTTAAAAAATATTGATCTTACATAACATTTATGTGTATAAACAAATCGGCCACTGTATTTTATATTTTCCTGCAAACTTCCCAATTTGACTATCTTCGGAAATAATAGGTTTGGCACTCTTAGAATTTTTACTCATGATAGCTGTGAACTCTGGAAATTATAAATTCAGCCTATTAAAGAAATACTAGTTGGAGAACAATGTTTCATTTAACTCATGCTAGAGAATTTTCTTTTATTTTGTTTGGTAAATTTATACAAGTTGTCCATCTCACATACACGACTCTGAGCAGCATACAATGTTAAAAATCACAAAAAATATAAAAAAGTAACCAAAGAGGTAGCAAAAAAACCTAAAAACTTTAAAAACAATAAAAATCATAAAAATTATTTAAAACCCACTAACTTATGGGGTAACACTTATTCCTAATTATACAGCCAGTTTGCAGACTCTGTGCCAATGTTACTGGATCCCAAGGCCGAAGGCAAAGCCATGTTTTCAGACCCTTCAGGAATGTTGGTGCCAATCTGATCTCAGCAGGAGTGACGTTGTAAAGGGTGGCAGAAAAGTCTCTCCTGGGTCTTGTCAAATTACATTCCTTTGTGGGGGGAACCCACAACATGCCCTTCCTGTGAGATCTGATAGATATGCTTGGCAAGAGACAGTTCCCTCAAACAATCAAACAATACATACATGCATTCCACCATATAACTCTAGATTTTCTGATATTCCCAGTTTTATCTGGAATTCATACACTATATCATTCCTAACTCTAATTCAAATTTTCACTGTAATATATCATTGTCAACCAAGAATAAAAAGATACACTGAAGCTAAACTTCTTTGCTGGTACTACATAGGCACAACTGTGCAGTTTACTTTCCAGTAGTATAGAAAAGGCTTGCAGCTGATCCTTTCTGATTTCACAGTCTGGCCCATAGCCCTGGTATTCCCTGGTGATTCCCGATTGAAATACAAACCATGCCTAACCTTGTTTAACTCCAAATCTAGGCACTTGCTGAAAGCTAAAAATTAAAAGGAGTATATGGGAGTGCATGCATATATATGTCTACATACAAACATATCAATAGAATAAGATATCAGGGATCTTGGAGGTCTTCTAGTCCAACCCCCTACTAAAGCAGGAGACCTTATACCATTTCAGACAGGTGGCTGTCCACAACTTCTAAAGGCAAGCCATTCCACTGGTTGATTGTTCTCACTGTCAGGAATTTTTTCCTTACTTGTAGGTTGAATCTCTCCTTGATTAGTTTCCATCAATTGTTTCTTGTCTTGCCTTCTGGTGCTTTGGGAAATAGGTTGACCCCCCTCTTATCTGTGGCAGCCCTTTAAATATTGGAATACTGCTATCATGTCTCCCCTGGCCCTTCTTTTCACTAGACTAGCCACATGAAATTCCTACAACCATTCATCATGTTTTAGTTTCCAGGCCCCTTCTCTGCATTTTTTCAAAAGTCTCAACCTCTTTTTTATAATGTGATGGCCAAAACTGTGATGCAGTATTCCAGGTGTGGTCTTATTAAGGCTTTGTAAAGCAGTACTAGTACCTCATGTGATCTTGACTCTATCTCTCTGTTAATGCATCCTATGATTGCACTGGCTTTTTTGGCTGCTGTCACACACTGCTGGCTCATATTTAAACGATTGTCCACTAAGACTCCAAGACCCCTCTCGCAGTTACTGCTATTGAGCCAGGTTTCACCTAATCTGTACTTGTGCAGTTGCTTTTTTCTTGCTTTTCTCTTCACTGAATTGCATTTTGTTAGATAGGGCCCATTGTTCAAATCTGTCGAGATCCATAAGGATCTTCTGCAGTACTGACTATTTCTGCCAGCTTAGTGTCATCTGCAAATTTGATGAATTCCTCCTTCTATTCCCTACTATTTCCTCATCAAATTGTATTTAAAAATATTGAAGAGTATTGGGCCTAAAATAGGACCTTGGGATACCCCACTGCTTACTTCCCTCCATGTAGATGTAGTACCATTAAGGACTACATGTTGAGTGCAGTTTATTAGCCAGTTACAAATGTATCTGGTGATGATGTTGTCTAATCCACATTTTTCTAGCTTACTAAGAAGTAGCTTGTGGTTTACTTTGTCAAATGCCTTTCTGAAATCCAAGTATACTATGTCCACAGCATTTCACTGGTCTATTAATTTAGTCACTTTGTCAAAGAATTAAATAAGATTGGCTCTACTTTTGATAAACCCATGCTGGCTTCTTATTATAACTTTATTTGCTTCTAGGTGTTTTTTTATTATCTTTTCCAGGATCTTCCCAAGAACTGATTGGTCTGTAGAAACCTGTGTTTGTCCCCCCCCCCCTTTTTTTTTTTTTTTTTTTTTGAAGATGGGAACCACATCAGCTCTTTTCCAGTTCTCAGGAAATTCCCCGGTGCTCCAGAATCTTTGAAAAATATTGTACAATGGTTCTGAGATAACATCTGCCAGCTCCTTCAGAACTCTGGGATGTCATTTGTTAGGTCCTGGTGATTTGAAAATATCAGATGTGTTCTCTTACCATTTTCTTCCTTAGTTTAATTTTTATTTCTAATCTGTCTTTTACAGTTATGCTTTTGATGGATTATGTTTTCTAGTAGATTATATCCCTGTTTAAAACAAGAAAATTTCCAGTTCTAAACTTTCATTTGCAAAAAAAAAAAACCTCATTAAGCCTTAAAGAAATCAGGAAGAATTTTCTTCTTGGAAACTATATTCAGATTGCTTCTGGATTTTGTGAAAATATGTGGAACTCCCAGATTTCATGAGAACAAGCTTGACACTCAATTTCCAATGTTTAGTTTCCATGGAAGCAACAGAATAATTTGGAATGCAGAGGGGAGAGAAAAAGGAAACAGCAGAAATGATACATATCTTGATATAGTTTTGGTAAAGAAATTTCTGAATAACATTGTTTGGTGATTGAAGAATTCAGAACTTGGCAATTAGGATAATAAATGAATCAAAGATAATTATACTGAAAGGCCATGCTCTGCTTTTAGTCTTTATGATCTTAAATCTCATTTTAATCTAGTGAGAGTACAAGGAAGAACCATACGGCAGCCTAATTCAATTCCCTTTCCAGCATACTCGAAATATTAACATGATGAAATGAATATCTGAACTATGCAATGTCAATATAGTATATAACAGAACTAGAATTTTGAAAACTGATTTTATGTTTAAATATGTTGACTCTTTTCTAAAAACATGGGATATAATGTGTACAGTACACTATTACGTCTCATTAATTTCAACATGTGTTGATATACTTCACTTAAGAATGCCTGCAATTTAACTCGGCTTTACTTTTATTTTTAATGAACCTTTTCAACAACTCACTGATAATCTCTGAACTTTTTTTCTACTTCAGTTTTGTCCCCACCCCCACCCCCCAAAATGGTTCAATGACACAGCTCATAGACCAGGATAGGCAACCTTGGCTCTTTTATGACTTGTGGATTTCAACTCCCAGAATTCCTGAGCCAGCATAGCTGGCTCAGGAATCTGGGAGTTGAAGTCCACGAATCATAAAAGAGCCAAGGTTGCCTACCCCTGACATAGACTCAGTTTCGGTGACTTTGGGCTAGTCATTGTCTCTTAGCCCTACCCACCTCACAAAGTTGTTGTTGGGGGAAAACAGGAGGGAAAAGGAGTCTTAAATATGCTCGATGTATTTTTAAAAAGTAAAGGTGGAATATAAATAAACAATTGAATAAAAACAAACAAGCACTATCCCAATAGATGAATATTCCATTTGAATTAATAGTAGATGAGAAAAAATGTTTTATATGTGACATGGTCACTTAAAATTTTTTTATCAACTGATCATTTCAGAAAATTGTATTCAAACAACCAATCCACACAATTGGTGTGCTTTATTTCTAAATAAATAAAACATACATTATATAACTGGGGTCCCTAACCTGTTGGCCACTGGACCCTGGGAATAGCTGGCGAGCCCTGCCCCACTCACAGTAACATCACTGTGCAGGCGCCAGTGGCCCTTTTGCACATGCGTGTGGGTGCCAGGGTGCGGGCCGTGAGCGTGTGCAGCCTGTTTGTGCAGTGTGTGGGCGCCAGAGCACAGGCCATTTGACCATGTGCACGGGTGCCAGTGCGCATGCTATGGGTATGCATGGCCCACTTGAGCATGCACGCACCTGTTTGCACATGCACCCGTGGTTGCGCACACGCACATTGCCCTGCTGTTCCCTTTCCTTCCAGGCCACCAAGTCGGAAAGGTTGGGGAACTCTGCTATATAATATATAAATAAAAAGGTAAAATATTTAAAAGTATTCATCATTGACATATCTTGCCCATCTTCTTGGAACTCAAGATGGCTTTTGTGTGGATCGCTCATCATTTTATCTCCAAAGCGATTCTACTGGATAACTAGCTAAAAGAGAGATAACTGAAGCAGAGAAACCAACAGATCCCATATAAAATATTTTACACAAACTTAAATGAAGACCGTGGAACCATGTGACAGGACCATGGTGGTGAACCTATGGCACGCATGCCACAGGTGGCCCGCAGAGCCCTCTCTGTGGGCATGCGTGCTGTCACCCCAACCCTAGGCCTTCAGCTGGATTTTATAAAACCTTTTTGCTTTAGGCCACTGCCGCTTGTGCAAAAAAAAAAGGTTCAATCAATCAATTTCAACTTCTCGCGGGGGAAAAAAACTCGCAAAGTTGGAATTGATTGATTGAACTTTTTAGTCCCACCCATGCTGCCATTACCACTGCAGCCACGCCCATCCAATGGGCCATTCCCATCTAATTGGCCACACCCACCCAATGGGCCATGCCCACCCGGCATCCGACAATACATAAGTGGGTTTTGGGTTGCAGTTTGGGCACTTGGTCTCTAAAAGGTTCGCCATCATGGTGATAGGACATATACATGAAAAAGTAGCAGATGTTATCCACAAAGACCACTTACAACCAAAGAACACAACATGGCATTACTAAGCTCCCTCCAATCAACACCCAAGGTCATAATGGTAACTGAGAAGCAGTATGGGTAGTCCATGACTTATGACCATAATGGAGCCTGCCCATTACAGTTGCAAGTTGTGATAGTTGTAAAAGCGGGTCATTATATTACTGACCTGATTTTATCTTTTTTTGCAGTCGTTAAACCAATCACCATGGTCATTAAGTGAATCCATCATCATTAAGCGAATACCACAGTTATTAAGTGAAGCCATTGTTTGCTCTGGGGTCTTCTGCAAAAAAAAATGGAAGTAAATGCTGGTTTTTGGCAAAAATGTGGCAAATCGCAGCCATGTAAACCGCAGATATTGTAAACAGCTATAAGTATGGGCTGCCAGATGAAACGTGGCCATGGAGAGATGGCTGCTGGAACATCAAACATTCACTAAGCAGCTGGTCGTAAGTCAAGGACTACTATAAGCATTTCAAATCAACCATATCAAAAATGCAAAAAAATAAAAATAAAAAATACTGCATCCAGAAGCAGTAAGTAGAATTACTCTAACTAAAATTTTCCTGAAATTTGTTGAGAGGGTGGCTGACACTCAGCTGCAGAAAATCTCGATTAAGATTATCTAGACCAGGGGTGTCAAACTGCCGGCTCACGGGCTGGATGCATCATAGCAAAACCGCATCCACTCCATTGCCGGCAATGACAAAAAAAGTCGCCTTACGTCACGACACGTCACATGATGTTGCGAGTTTGACACCCCTGATCTAGACCCTTTTCAGTTAGAATTGAGACTGGGTTTTGTATTGAGACAGCATTGACTATGCTTGTGGATGATCTCTGGAGGGCTCTGAATAGGGGTGGCTTGTGATGCGATCAACCACAGTATCTTTCTTGACCTGCTCCGGGGACTGGAAGCCGCACCCACCTCATACCCGGCTATGAGGATCTGAATAGAGAGGATCTAGATCCAATTCAACCTTAGCAAGATGAAGTGGTTTGGGGGTTTTGGCTCCCCAGGCTTCAATGATATGTGATCCGACTCTTGAATGAGTTGCGCTTTCCTGAAGAGGGCTAGAATGTAATTTGGGAGTTGTCCTACATTTCTTGATTGAGGAGCAGATGGCCAATGTGTCTAAAGAGGCCTTTGCACAGTTTTATTTTGTGTATCAAATGGACTGCAATTGAAAACCATTTAGAAGTTACAGCTGGTCCAGAATGAAGGATACCTACAGGACTTTGGTTTGCCTGCATTATGCCGCTCTTGTATGAACTGCACTGGCTCTTAATTTTTTCTTTCTGCAATTCAAAGCACTAGTTGTCACCTTCTATCAACACTAGCTACAATTATAAAATATTGCTGTTGGCTCCTGGTTCCCTGAGCCAATACAGAAGGTATTGAAGCAGCCTAGAGATCTAGGAGAAGAATGGATGCGAGGATCTCCAACCTAATCCTCCCACGGTTCTTCTATACACACAGCCAAGGCTATCTTCATATTAAGTCCCCACTTTAAAACAGTCTGAAACAGGTCTAGATAATTTCTTCATTCAGGGTCTTCTGCAGCTGCGATTTGACTAATTTTTCAATAGCTGAATATACCACCTTCTCCTTCAAAGAGACTGCTTAACACATGTGCCCAGCTGCAAATCACTCTGAGTGAACTTGATCCAACAAACAGGTGGCCAAAATAATAATGCAGAGAACCATTTTGTCAAACGTCTCCTCAAATTCAATCAGAAGACTAGCCCCAAGCAGACCTGCCCAGTCAGAGCCCAACATAGCATAGATCTGAGTGACTTCATCCACTAGGTCAGTGTTTCTCAACCTTGACAATTTTAAGGCATGTGGACTTGAACTCCCAGAATTCCACAGCCAGCAATGCTGGCTGTGGAATTCTGGGAGTTGAAGTCCACATGCCTTAAAATTGTCAAGGTTGAGAAACACTGCACTAGATAGCAAAAATATTCCTCACAGCAACTCTGGAGATGAACCAGTGGTCTGTCTCTGACGTTCTGACTTATATCCTACGTGAGGCTTAATAATCAAAGACTTAATTTTAAAGCATATTGACTACTACCTATAGAACTCTGCAACCCAGCCATGCACATAGCTGACATAACAGAAAAAGGCATGTCAAACTGTCGGCTTGCGGGCCGAAACCACGCCCACCCCATTGCTGGCAATGGGAAAAAAGTCGCGGTATGTCGCGCAACGTCACGTGACATCACAAGTTTGACATGCCTATAATAGAAGGATATATACAACTTTGTCAACCAACAAACCTCCCTGTCCTACAACCAATAAACCTCACTGTCCTTTACTTCTTGCCTCAATGATGTTATCTAATACGATCATTAAATAGTTGCTAGCAAAATAGAGCCCAGACAACTCTAACATTCAAGTTACCCAGTGAGCATCCATGGCTAAGAGTGGACTTGAGTCTAGGACTCATGAATGAAGGCAAATATACACTTTGCGGGACAATGTTGCAGGAACCAATCTGGGTCAGTTACTAGGACCAGAGTGAGGGAAGTTAGCCCAGAGAAGAAAATATTAAAAAGGGCAGAAAAATATATTTTTTCCCAAAAGGACTTTTTAAAACCAAACCTGGCCCCAAATCTATCTCTCTGCCCCAAGCAAGACTTTAGCCCCATACAAATGCAGATGTAAAACCATCAGAAAGTTGAAGCCAGAGCAATCAAGAAGACAAAGAGAAGATCTGCATACCCCACCCAAACTCTAGGAGTCATTAGCCCCATCACCTGGGAAGTAGGATATGATAATAGGATTAAACCACAGATATCAAGGCCTAGACAAACACACAGAAACAGCCTCAAGGTTCATGCCACAGGAACAGGAAACTATTCCAAACAAGGCTAGAGAGGGTATAAAAAAACCTACTGCCCGTGTGCTCTCTCTCTTTCCTCTCCTTTGCTCTTTCCTGCAAGGGCCATCTTTCTGCTTCTTCAATAAACTGTAACCTTCTTCCCAAAGCAGTCTCCATGTTGCCTATTTATTCCCGGCTTGGATGAACCAGGATGAAGACTTATGAACCAGGATGAAGACTTACTTCTCACAAGAGGTTTAGTCTTCTGAGCTTCTTTAGGGAACCTCTCTCTCTCACCAAAACATGTATTATGTTTAGGACTCCCAGGTCCTAGTCCAGTATCTCTATCCATACTGTCTCATCCGTAATTCATCATCAAATATGTAATAGCTGTGCATTTCTTAATGATCATTTGTGCTGAAACAGGCCGGTTGTGGCTACTAGATACTTGAGCCCGCTTCAGAAATTCACAGAATATGATTCAATTTAATTATTATAAGCTTTTATCTAGAGTTTTTATTCCATACTAACCATTTCCCAAATGTTTTTGGTCAAGACTGGGCCATTTTTTTTTTTAGCTAAGTAACTGCACTTTTAAAAATGCATTATTTTGCTGTCAGAGAACCAAAGGATTGTGTCCAGATGTGGTGACGTCAACATGGGGCAGGTTTAAAATTATATTGGGTTGGGGATTTGGATTATTTTTTTAAGTAACTGTGTGAAAACATTCAGAGGTCTGATGTGCCTATCTTGAAGAAAATTACAGAGCAAGTTTACTGCTGAATTTTAGTGGCATAAGCAAGGGTTCTGAGAGAGTTATAGATTCACATGAAGTTATAGATTGTCCACTCCTAGTATAAGTGCTTCACGTACTCTGGTTCATGCACTTGGGCCACCATTGACCTCTTTCTGAACATAGATCACAGCATCTATAAATGTTCTCGTGAACTGCCTGTGATTCAAGCAAATGAAGAAGCCTATGCCTCAAACATTTTTTAAGTGGCACATAGGGTATAGATCCATTTATTTGAAATTGGTATTTATATCATTCCACCATAAGTAAGAAGCATTAATGATACAGTATGCAAACTGATATAATTTTTTTTTTGAGCATACATTTTACCAAGCTTTCTATTTCAAGTACTATACAAAAATTGCTCCCAGACCATGAGATATACTGTTTTGAGCATTTTAGAAGTATTTCAAGCTCAAAACAGCACTATTTCATGCTCTGGGTACTCAAAAACAGCTCACAGAGCAGCCTATTTTCAAATCTAAACTGTAAGCTTTGAGCTATTTCATGCTTGAAACATTTTGTATACCCATACAACATACAAATGTTTCATGCTTGAAACATTTTGCATTTTGAAACATTTTGCATACCCCAAGAGATACAAGAGAAAAGATATGAAGGAATAGCAGTCTGATAACGAATAAGCAATAGCATCTTGGCTAAACTTACATATCAAAATGATAGGTGTTTTTTTTTTACTACAGGACATTACAACCTAGGATAACTATAAAAGCTGGAAAAGGCACAATTTATCAAGGTAGAATACCCTGAGATAGTAAATATTTACAGAAAGGACATTGGAAAGTTAAAGGTCAGAATCAATTAAAGTTGGTGAGAGGTTAAAAAACAGCAAATAGAGCTTCTTTAGGTATGTTCAAAATAAAAGGAAAAGAAAATATCTTTTCATCAGCTGTTCAATCAAGATGGCTAGCAAAAAAAAAAAAGGGTAATGGATAGCAAAGAAAAGATAGAACTGTTCAAAACTATTCTGGTCCAGTGTTCTCCAACAAGAGGGAATGTGTTCTACTGAGTAATTCTGAAAAGTAGGACAGAGGAACAAACTGAAAAGTTACCAAGTAAAATGAAACTGCTATTTATGTCCAACGATTTTAAATTTTAAGATGAACTTCATCCTCGTGTACTGAATGGCCTCCTTGATGTACTGGCCAAACCTTTTATGATCTTTGAATAATCTGCAGAAAGGAGGAGGAGGAGGAGCAAGTGTAGGAGAACAAATATCCCTATCTTCAAAAAAGGGGAAGAAGAGGATTCAGCAATCCTCTTCACTTCGATATCAACACATGGGAAGATTCTAAAGGAGGTCATAAGTTGATGGATCCATGAGCACTTTGAAAATAATGTAGCCAAAAGCCACACTGACAGGTTTTTGCCATAACATTTTGATTGAATAGCTTCCTTAGTATAATGGAAGAATGCTGCGGACATATCTTGATTTCATTTAATACAATGACATGGGATAGCACTATAACTAAGGAGGAGCAAAGCAGAATTAGTGCTGAAAGAATAAATTTTGTTTTTAACTTTGCTGTACATCACCCAGTGTCACTTGACTGTTAGATGGGAGGGGTATGTAAATATGATGAATAAATAAATAAAATCAAACTGGATGGTGATATTAAATGGAGAGACAGGAGGTTTACT